AAGGCCATATGAAATTGATCCCTTCAACTGATTCTGGGTAATTCACAGAGAAGATCAACAATCGTAAATCTATAAGGTCTCTGTCGCTACTTATTTTGATTATGCTGTAAAAATGTTAAAGACTGCAAAACCCTTAAGTTATCTAAGAAATTTTCAAAATAAGAGATTTATCTAGTTATGAACTTCTAGATTTTTATTTATTTTATTTACTTAAGTAGAGGTTAATTTGAGCATATTTGGGTGGAAATCCATCATCCTCTTCTTCTTTTAAAGAGAAATAATTCTCTTCTTCATGCAACTGCTGAAAAGAATGAGGCAACTCATTACTGTAAGAAAAAAAAATTTCTCCGGAAAAAAAAATGGAAAATGCATGGAAGCATGGTACCAACCATTATTGCACCAAAACATTGCCATACCAAACAAATGTTCTACCAGCAAATTCTATTTACACAAATCACAAAATCCAATGGGAAAGGGCTGATAATGTTGCAAGGTTAAATTTAGACGGTTACATTTCACAACTTGGCTCTCACAAGCTATTATGGTGATGATTTTATGACTTGCTCGGTGTTGAAGTAGTAGTTGCAAGAAATTGGGAGAGAGATGGACAAATTTGATACAACTTAATAAAAAAGGATCATAAGACTATATTAAGCATGGGATCGAGTCGGCTACATTAGTGAATGTGAATGTATGAAATCTAAATTCTAACAAGATCGAATTGCACTTTATGAAATCTAAATTCACAAGTCGGCTACATAAGTGAATGTAAATGCAGAGATGCATGCGGTGTCGATCTCCAACGTCGATTACCTCAATCAAAAGTTTTTTTTAAAAAAAAAGTTAAAAGTGCGGCTCATCGAAATACATCTTTACAGTGATCGATGGTGAAGATCGAATACAGTATGAAATAATTTTTCAAGTAACAGAGGAAGAAGAAAACGGTGAAAGTAAGCAGTGGAGATCTACAATAATGGCAAATTAATCATAATAATAATATTAATGATGACGATGAGGATGAGAATAATAATAAAACCAAAAACTGAGTTGCAGGAGGCGGCCACGTCTCCAAAGCCAACAGAGCGCGAGGTTGGCGACGATGGCCGAGGGGTTTATGGATTCTTTAACACTCTGCGTCGTCGTTTCTTACAGAGCGAGAGCTTAAAAAAGGACCGATGACAAAAGGGATTCGCATTAAAAATCCCTACGCATTTTCCATCCGCACATGGCCTTGCTCTTCATCGGCCATTTTTTTAGGTCCCGCTCTTTCTTATTTTATTTCTTCTCCTCTGATTGTAAAATCTATTTTCGCCCACATGGTTGCTTTCCTTATTCTATCGGCTTTGAGATCTCTCCCTTCTCCCTCTCATCTCCACTCTGCAAAGCTCCAGAGTCCCCGCAGACGCAGAAAGCGGAGATTTCTGTGGATTATCTAGTAGAATCTTCTATTGTCGGCTAATGTGGATCCAGTCTTCTCCAAAGTGAAAAGTTTCTCAGGTACCTATATATTTATCATTGATCTATTCCAGAGCTTCGAATTCTGATTTTAAAGTGGAGATCTCTTGTCATGTTCGTCCTTCTTCTGTTGACTTGATAAAGAGGATAAGGAGCTTATAACTCTGGGAATCAATTACTTACAATTCTTTTACTTTTACCACATTTTAACTTTAATGTCTTCTTTTCTTGAGCCTTTTTAAGATCCTAATTTGTGCATTTACGGATGAGCGCATTGTCTTATCGGGTTCTTAGACCTTAGTGGCTGACAATTTTTGAATGGCAGCTGGCACATGTGGATTTGCGCCTCAATAGCACCCTTTTGATTAGGAATTATGTGCATATTCTCATCGTCTGTAGCTTCAAAGAAATTTTGGTGGCTTTTGTAGGCTGTACTGTAGCTTTTGATCTATTCGAATGATTTGACAGCAGGCCCACCAACTTCAATTCGACTCTGCTTTACAATAAATAAGAATAATCTCAAAGGGTGGCATTGTCATTTTTCAATTGTAAGCTTTCCTGATTTATAGATTGAACCAACTCATAAATTTTGAATGAACGGCCCTAAAATTGCTGTGCATTACTCTCCTTGGTTGCCCTGCTGTTGTTGTTGTAGTGATATGAAGGACGGTTTCAATCTATCTCAAGTTTGAGTAGGTTTTCACAACTGTCTATTGTCTTTTATAAGTTGTAAATGATTCTTCTCTCTGTACATTGTATTATCTACTTGTAACTTAAATTGCAGATTATTTTGTTCTCGTTTTTTATATGAATTTTTGGATGTGGGCTTCACGAAGTGCCAGCAAAGAACCTAATCCCTTGTGGTGTTTTTGAAGGAAGAATTGAAGATATGGCAACTTGATTCTATCTCCCGTTTAAAACTATTAGAAATTGTTGGCGATACTTCTGGGATAAAATAATGACGCCATAATTAGTCCAACTTGTGTTCTTAAAGGCTGAGATCAGTTTGAGATTGTGGTTGTTTCTGTTGTTTAACATCATGGAAAATGGACATCTTGAAGAAGCAGACAATGAAGTCCTTCCAATGTGGCCTGATAATCTCATGAACGCAGCTGAAAAGCAGTTCAACTTAGAAACCAAGGCAGACCGAGATATGCTTGAAGATGTTACAATAGTAGACGATCCTTCTGTTGCGGATTTCAAGCGGCTTCTAGAGCTAACCAGCTATAGTGAGAAGGGCTCCTCTCAGTTAGCTTACCTAGTTAAAAGTTGGGAGTATAAACAAGCTAATGCTGCACGCCTTCTGAATGAAGAACTCAGCATTCTGAGCATTCAGAGGAAGGAAAGTGAGCTGAAGAAGTTAGAGATCATAGAAGCTCACCGTTTTGAGCATGAAAGACATGCAGGCAATAAACGCCCTATTTCTATACTGGAGGAAGTTTATGACATATGGGGAGCTGCCCCTAGAAGGATAAACGATGGCCAAACATTCAACAAAATCATTACTATCGATGCAGAGTACAACACAGTAAGTTACTGGAAGCAACGTGCCATTCAGCTGGAAAAGTTGCTGGAGGAAAGCATCCAGAGAGAGCAGATGCTCATGCAGAAATTGCAGGATGACCTCAATAATCTTCAGGCGCAGTCATCACCTGTAGATGAATTGTCTCAGATTTTAAAAAGAGCTGATAACTACCTGCACTTTATTCTACAAACTGCACCTGTTGTCATTGGCCATCAGGTGATTTAATTCTATTTCTGGATAGTTTAAAAGAAAATATATATTTATTTACTTTATCTACAGGCCTTGCTTAATTATTCTCTTGAGAAATTTAAAGCTCATATATATTTTCTTTCTCAGTCGAACTTAATAATCCAGTTATTCCATAACTCTAAGTTACTGAAAATTTTCAGGATTTATTCTACCTTGTTTATGTTCAATATTATTGCATATATCCTTTTTATTTTGCTTTATTCAGATTGTTCATGATACTCTCTTCATGAATTTTTAGTAAAATGTTAATATCAATAGATTCGATATATCTTTCTTAGCCTAAATGATCCATATATTTCATTCTCTTTTTTTTTCCAGAGAAAGTGTATTTCAATCAACAATGCCTTTCTCGGGGGGTTTACTCATAGTTTTTCTTTTCTGCTCCAGGATAAAGAATTACGTTATCGTTTCATCTATAACCATTTCCCCAGGTTGGGAGAGGAGGTAACCATTCGATCACTGCTCATTACTCAAGTTTTCACGGCATAAATATTTTGCAGTAATTTTGTTCTTGATTATTTTACTAAGCAATGGAAAGTAGGAATGTATGTTGACTTCCATCCTCTTTGTTGTGGTTTTTCTCCATTTAATATACTATTTTTATTTCTTCCACTAGTATTTGATTGGAATGTAACTGATATTTTCAGGACATTATAGGTAAAACTGATACGGAGATATTTACTGGATTGGGCGTCAAAGAATCTCAGGAGTTCAAGAGAGAAGTCATGGAACGAGGGTTGCCTGCTAAGCGGGAAATAACCTTTGAGACGGAATTGTTTGGGAAAAAAACATTCTTAATATATGTTGAACCAGTATTTAGCAAGGCAGGAGAAACAATTGGTGTCAATTATATGGGAATGGATGTAACAGACCAGGTAGCAGTCCTTCCAGGATTCTTTTTTACTTTTTATTGGAAATTAAACTTATTGCTAAGCAGAATTATATAATGGCTTGTCAAGCTAATTTATAGATGATTTAGTATTGCAGAAAGAAACATGGTTACTGATGTCTTTTCTGTTTTTACTGCATCATTATAAGCTAATTAGTTCCTCGGCTTGCTCAGAACAAAGATTGAAATAATAATTTTTAGCCATATTTATTTATTGGCTATATTTATTCTTTTGTTCATGCGTCCCGCTCTGTGAATGAAACAAAACAGTTTATGAAACAGATTTTTCATTAGGACTTACAGTATTAATGACATGCAGCTGAAGGATTCTTAAATTATGATCTTTGATGTTGTTTAAGCTATCCTAGTGTTTTTTTTTTAACAATGCAAAATCATTTCCTTTTAAAACATATCAAGACAGAAGCCATATTTGGAAATACTTGTATATTTGTTTGGGAAAGCTTTATATTTGCTTTGGGGTTCAGACCACTTCCAGAGTTTTGCTTGGAGAATTATTTTTTTGCTGTTTTTTATAAATTTCTGCGGCGAGAAATTACTTTTTTCAATCTGACCTGTAAAAGTGTGGTCACTACTAGAAAATTGTCACATTTTTTTTAAAAAAAATATAAATTTATAACTCCCATCATAGCTTTATGAGAAGCTATATTCTCCATCACAACTTTTCAGCAAATTTTGCAGAAAAGCTGCAGGCACCCCGAATAAATCTAAAGTGAGAAGAATTCCATGAAGGTTAATGTAGAAATAGGTTGCGTTAAAGCTAGCATGCCAAGGGGTTGCTAAAATGGACTATGTTAACCATAACTTTTAACAAGCAATATTTAACGAGACTGAGCAATGACTTAAAGTTTATAAAGGCTCCTTATATTTCTTGCAACTGGAGATGATAAATATTTTAAGGGAGATTTGCATACATAGCAAACAATTCTTATGTATTTACATATCTCACACCTTAAGTTTTATGTTTACATGCATAGCAATTTGGTGCTTTAAGCCTATGCATGAAAATGTGTATTTCACTTTTAAAAGTGATAATAGTGCTATTTTTATTATGATATTAATGGTTTGGGTGCTATATTAGTAAATATGAAAGTAAGGTGTGCGATATGTAAATGCATAAGAATTGTGTGCTATGTATGTAAATGCCCCATATTTTAAATCTGTTGTATGCATTGTATTTTACTATTTTCATCATCCTTATTAGCTTCAATTAACTGCTGGTTCTGATTAACAGATTACAAAAATGTGCTTCTAAATAGATTAACGTGCTACATTAACAGATTAATCATTAATGCCACAATTTCTGAATCTGTATTATCTAAAGGTATTAGTACTGGAGGTAACATGTTGGCAAAAGTTACATTTACTACTAGAATATGTCAGCACAAGAATTTCTGAACTTTATTGCTTTATAACTTGGCAAAATTTTAGCTTAGTTTCTCATTTCTCCATTTATGTTGTTTCTCGTGATATGCAAAGTTTTTTTAAAGCTGTTTAGCTCATTCAGATTTTGTTCACTAAGCCTGATGGTTCCCTTTTCTCATCCTTTTGGTACTTTTGCTCATCACTGCAAAATTATGTATTTTAATATTGAACGTTAAGACATGAGAGAGAAAGTGGAAATTGACATTGAATTTTCTAAAGGATTGTTATTAATAAGATAACAACACTATCAATTTCCGAAATTCAGTGTTGCTATTTTCTGGACCAGATGAAGATCGAAAATAATATAGAAGATATTAAGCTGAAGATTGACATTGTCTAGAAAATTGATAAATTCTCAGAATCTGATAAAAATTATTGGCAAATGAGATAGGAAGAGCTAAGCATATTAATTTTAGAGATAGAAGAGCAACATCTTGTCATTGGAAGACCAGACCCTCTTATTGAAACTCAAAGTTGATCCATTTTTTTTTTAAATTTTGTTTAGCATTGGTGAATTACATAGAATGAGAATATATGATAAATTTTAGGGATTTTATTTTTTAAAACTTGGTGTATTACAACACAATTTCTTGCAGATCATATTGACAAGTAATATAGCACTGAGTGTTGAATTGGAAAAATCTATATTTTTATTTAAACGACTTTTTATTTTCTTTTATGCATGGTGATAAGTAATTTTAAAGTGGGTTTAGATTTATTAAGGGCTAGTCTAAAGGTCTAGATGAATTTTGTATTGATTTATTTCATGATGAATAGATGAAATGAAATAAATGTTTTTTAATAACGACTACTGTTTTCAAAACTAAACCTCGATGCTTTATATTTTTTTAAAGTGATCCTTCAAGAACTCCAAATTTTTGTTTATCTTGGCAAAAAAATTGTTCTTTAGCATTATTTTAAATTTTGGTTTTTTTTTTTCCTTTTGTTTTTAAGTCTAGAATATGACTTGACTAACTTGATTGTATGAAAACAGGTGATTAAAAGGGAGAAAATGGCAAAACTTCGGGAAGAGATAGCCGTCCAGAAGGCTAAAGAAAAAGAACTCAATAAAACCATACATATTACAGGTTTACTTTTCCTTAGTTAATTAAATGCTAAGTTAATTATGTTCTAATTGCACTAGTAGAGCTATATCTTTATCACGTTGTTTCAATATTACAGAGGAAACCATGAGAGCAAAACAAATGCTTGCCACAATGTCACACGAGATTAGGTCTCCACTTACTGGGGTTGTTAGCATGGCTGAGATACTTGCAAACACAAAATTGGACAAAGAACAGCACCAGTTACTGGATGTCATGATCTCATCTGGAGATTTGGTTCTTCAGTTAATTAATGATATTCTAGACCTTTCGAAGGTTGAGTCAGGTCGGTATCAGTTCATTCCTTATAAATCATAACATGTTTTATGCAGTTTTAAAAATGTACTTTCTTTTGATCAAGTTGCTTGCCTAGTGGAAATTTTTTTGTCAAATTTTCTGTTTGTTTGAGATGATGCTGCTCTAGTTTATGCGGGGAGTCGTTCTCTTGCAACCTTGCCAATGATTCAAGGATAACAATTCCATGTTGATAGATGACTCGAACTTCTTCTTCTACTTGAAATATTTTTTTTTTTTTGAAAATTTACTTACATACCACCCAATGCATATGTATTTACATGTTTAACACCTAAAGTTTAATGTTCGCAGTTGTAACACTTTGGTATTAAAATTTTATACATGTAAAGGTGTATTTCACTTCTAAAAGTTAATGATAGCAGTCTTTTTTATGTGATGTCAAAGATTTGAGTAGTATGTATGACAATTTAGGCGTTAGATATGTAAATATATAAGAATTGTGCGGTATGTATGTAAACGCCCCAAAAAGTTTTTGTAGTCTATAATAACTCGGTGCAGATGTGAATTGAAATATTTTTTTTGTTGAAGTCAAAAGCCCCAGAATATCATTTTCAACTTCAGCTTTCCAAACCAGCTTCAGCTTTAGTTATCAGTTCTTATTAGTTTCACTGAAATAAAATTGATAAATGAGAAGGAGAAAGTAACAATTAAAGTTTTTTTGAAAATGAAGTAAACTTTTTATTTGTTATCCATTTATACAATCTTTCAAAACTTGATGTTGATAAACAAGACGGTTGAGCTGTAAACTTTTAGCATTCTATTTAAATTAACATTTATTCAGCCTTTGGTGAAGAAAATTGTTGCAATGGTATCAATTTTACATGCTGATTTTTTCTTGATACTTTCCCTGTTTATTGCAGGGGTTATGAAGTTGGAGGCTGCAAAGTTCCGACCAAGAGAGGTGGTAAAACATGTGCTCCAGACTGCTGCGGCATCTCTACGAAAGCAGTTGACATTAGAAGGACATGTTGCTGATGATGTGCCAATCGAGGTATGGAAATCACTGTATCAAAAGCTGTTATGTGCATAAAATTTTCACGCGTAACAGTTTGTCGATTAAATTTTAGGGTTAGGATCCGCTCCGTAATGCAGTATAAGCAAAGTTAGAAGAAATTGTCACAAAAAATTACATCAATTTTTACAGAATTCTAACATTGTCATACCTCTCGGCATATATGCTTCATGATTATTTGTAATGTAACATCAACCTTCAACTTTTTTACTTGGAACAAAATGTTAAGAAATTGTACATGCATGTATAAATTGGAGTTAACTCCACATGGAACATTCAATAAAAATGATTGCAGAAGGATTGATTAAGATTATGTTGTCACCAGAAATTTGGGATGAGGCTAAGTATGCGCTACGCCAGTGAATAGCCTAAGGGCAATTTGATCATCTGTACGCCTAAGGACAATTTAGTCTTTTATTTTTATTCTTGGGTATAAATAGGTTTATTATGTTCAAGGTTAGGCTTATGCATGAGATTGTTGTTGTGAATCTTAGATTTAGAGTTTGGGAGAGATTTCCTACCTCTTGAATTGTAAGAATTAGGAGAGATTGCATTGCAAGAATTAGGAGAGATTGCATTGCAAGAATTAGGAGAGATTTCCTATGGGTGAGGGTCGACCACTTATATTTTTTCAGTCATTTTATGTTGGAAAAAACCCCACAATGTCATGTATCGTAAACTTCTACCCTTCACATTAGAACTCTCAACATTGATCAATTATTCCATCTCAGATGGAAACTTTTTAACACGATCAAGAGTTATGCACCTAGAGATCACTGAACCACAAGAATCTATTGTGGGAGTTGGCCTTGAACCTTGCTCAACAGTATGTGAGGTTGAACAATAACTATGGGTTCCACAAATTAAATGAATTACTCGTTTTGATGTGGGACTAAAACATTTGGTATTTCTAAACCAAAATATTTTCAACCATTTAATGTGAGATTAAATCCAATATTCACGTGTCTTGACTCCTAATATTATCATAGTTTGATAGCAATTATAAGAAACTGTTGATTAGCTTAGGAGTGATGTTGTCTGACAAATTTTGCTGTACGTTTTAAACATTTTTGATACCATAGTTAACCCAAATCATAATAGAAAAAGGTAATATTATTATTGAATGTAAATAAGTCGTTACATCCATATACTTAAAATGAAATTACAATAAGCACGACACACAAACTCAAACTAGGGTTGGATATAAGGGTGGTGGTGGCGATCGGTTAGGGTTGGGAAGGTGGTGGTTGCAAGGGAGAGGCGGTTAGCAACTTGAGCAGCAGTGGGTTTGCTGTCCGGGGTGGTGGCAGCAAGCTGGAGGGGGTAGGGAAGGCGGGAAGCTGCAGAGAAATACTAGATCCTTGCTGTTTTGGGTGGTGGCAGCAAGTGTCGAGGCTGGAAACTGCTGCAATACATCAATCCGTGTTATTCTAGATGATGGTAGTAAGGTAAGACGATGGGGAGCGATGCGGAAGCACAGTGAAGGGTAGAGAAAGGATAAAACACCGTCTCGGAGGTGGTGGAAGATATAGCCGAAACACCGTCACCTCGGATGGTACAACCATAGAATAGGGAAAAATGACTCCACACAGGAACCTAAAATACGAAAGCAACAAAAACTAAACCCTAAATCTAGAAAATAACAATTTAAAGATATTCCCACAAGGGAAAAAAGCTAGGAAAGCTTCCATATGGAAATCACAGAAAAAGAAGGTCGGAGAAGGGGTCGGCGGCATCGCCCTCCTCTCTATAGGCTGCTCGGTCCAATTGGGGCCTAGATCGACGCCTTATGCCAGTCGGTTCACCGGTTAGCTTTTCCTGCACTCGCGTTCTGGATTTCCCACACCCGCGCAGGATGAAGCTGCACCTGCATCATTCTTCCAGGGTTGGGGGAACTTCGACTTCATTCCTCAAAGTTACTGGTTACTGTCTTCAATCCTGGTGGCACCTGGTTCCCACTATCGACGGTGCTGTCCCCCGAAGCATCGGAGAAGTCTTCCCCACATGCGAGCACATGTCCATATCGATCTGCTCTTCTGAGGCTATGGGCCACGCATGTACTGCTGATTCTTTCCAAAGTAACTCACAATAGGTTCAATCGAGCATGCAGTGAGAGTAACTTGAACCTTCTGGCATGACGGTGGCGCTTGCGATATAGTGTCGCCTGTGAGACCCTAAAATATCCCCAGTTGTATCTGTCCTGTATCTGGAACAGGTGCCTCAATCCTCTCATCTGCTGTTGTGAATAAAATTGTTCCTATTGATGCTGCACTGTTGGTAAGGACTCCTATGATTGCAGGCTCCGTCGAAGGAAGTAGATTGATGCACTTCCCATCCTTGGTGAAGAAATATGTGTTTATGAAACCGTTGTGTTGTGTTCTCCAATCAAATTGTCACGATCTTCCCAACAGAAGGTGGTAGACATGCATAGGGACCACGTCACACCACACCTCGTCCTACAGCTAGCTTTCGATTGAAAACTCTACTAAGCATCTCCGATCGATGCTGACTCAATTCTCCTTCAGCCACGTCCGTGAATACGACCGGGAATGCCTCTGGGTTGCAAGTCCCAATTACCCGACCATCTCAGTCGATTCCACATTCTTGTTGCTCAGCCGTCGATGTTAAGACTGCATACCTTTCTGTTCGCGGTGCGACGGATGTAGAAAATGTTGTGGCTATGCCACTACGGATTTCTCGTATCCTCAGTATGTAGGACCCGTTGAATAGTAAGTGTCTTTCCATCCGGTGAAAGCTGGTACACCTCACCCTGCTTAGCATTCTGCTCGTCGCTAACCTTTTGCACGACATCCTGATCAAAAAGTGTGAATACTCTCCTCGTGGGACTGTTGGAGGCTATGTGGCCGTAACCGTGATATTTGAAATACTTTCTGGCGGCCAGTACAGTGTTAGAGGAGCTCGCTTTCTCTAGCTTCTTCCCGCTCTGATCCAGAGTATAATTTTCTTGTTCAGGCTTGCTTTTTTCTCCCAAGGTTCTCTAATTAGCCTTGATAACTATGGGTGACTCCCCACCTGAAGAATGCCTCCTGCATGCTCTGCTTATGCTTTCTCTCCACCTTCAAGGCTAATAACTGGACATCCTGAAGCGTCTAGTACAGCTATATCTGCACAACATTACTAATAGTAGGCTTCAGGCCCCCAAGGTATCTAGCTACTGTATGCTCCTCTCGCTCTCTCAACGTGCACTTCAGTTTGGTCGAACTGAGCTTGTGAACTCCACTGAAAGATCACGTTGTTGTAGATTGTGGAGCTTCAAAAACATGTCTTGATGGTAATGAGGAGGAAGATATCTCTTCTGCATGACTTTCTTCATCTTCTCTCACTTGTTAGTCTTATCACTGCGTTCACGTTTTCTTTGTTGGTGTACGTTCTCCCACCATAAGGTGGCACTCTTCTTCTACTTAATAGCAGCTAGTTTGACCCGCTCATCTTTAGGCATATCTTTATACTTGAATATCCGCTCAACAACTTGCAATCAATCAAAAAATTCATCTGGATCCAAGCCTCCCTAAAACTCTGGTAAATCCACATTGAATCTATAGTCTCTGTGTCCTTCAAATGACATCTCTTGAAAATTTTCCCTCTGGGAGGGATTCAATTACCCCTCTCTAGGCTTCCTATGATACTGGATTCAGAAACGTATTGATTTGTCTTCTTCATCGCTGGAATTATCCCTATGAAAGGGATTCAAGATCTTTTCCCCTTAGACTCTCCAGATCTCGGTCGAGGGTAACCTCTTCTTGTGTCAACTTTTCAATTTTTGGAAGTATCTGTTGAAGGCGTAGAGCTCTCGTTGTATCTCTTCCCAGGTAGGATCAGACATATTTCTCCTTGGTGACGTGGTTAGGGATTAAGGAATAGGAAAAAAAAATATTGGTGTGGTTAGGGTTTGTGTTGTGGTAAAAAAATTATTTGGAGGTGAGAGGGGGTGTATGCTATTTGTGGTGCGTGTAGAAAAGTTATTTTGATTTGCTAATTTTGAAAATCAAAAAGAGAAATTTGGGATTTGGGGTTATGGTTTGGGAATAGGCAGATGCTAGGAAACTTTAGAATAGGACTACGGTTAGGCTAACTTTGATATCAAATAATATCGAAGTTGACGCAAACTAAACAAGACACACAAACTCAAAATAGGGTTATTATTGAATGCAAATAAGAGGTTACAACTGACACACTAAAAATGAAATTACAACAAGTATGAAACTCAAACTCAAAATAAGGTTGGATCTACCGGTGGTGGTGGCAATCTGTTAGGGTTGGGAAGGTGGCAATTGCAAGGGAGAGGCGATTAGTAGTGTGAGCAGCAGTGGGATTATTGTCAGGGGTGGTGGCAGCAAGCTAGAGTGGGTAGGGAAGGCTGGAAGATGCAAAAGAATAGTATATCCTTGCTGTTCTGGGCCGTGACAACAAGGGTGAAGGCTTGAAACTATTGGAATACAACAATCCCTGTTGTTCTAGACGATGGCAACAAGGTATGGTGACAGAGTGCGATGTAGAAGCACGAGGAAGGGTAGAAAAGGATATAACACCACCTCAGAGGTGGTGGAAGGTATAGTTGAAGCACCACCACGGAGGATAGAGAAAAACGACTCTACATAGGAACCTGCAATCTGAAAGCAGCATAAACTAAACCCTTAATCTAGAAAACAACAATTTAAAGATTTTCACAGTGAAAAAACAAGAAAGGAAAGCTTCCATATGGAAATAAAAGAGAAGGAAGGTGGGAGAATAGACTGAAGGCATTGCCACCCACTCTATAGGCCACCTGGCTTAGTTGGGATCTTTACCGTTGACTTATGCCAGCTAGTTAGCTGATTGGCTTTTCCCGCCCTCGCGTTCGGGATTTTCCTGCACATGCGTGGGATCAAGCTGCACTTGCGTCACTCTTGGGGTTTTCAACCTCATTCGTAGAAGCTTGTGGTTCTTTTCTTCAATCCTGGTGGCACCTGGATCCCATTGTCGTTGGAAGCATCAGACCCCACTTGCGAGAACATGTTCATATTGATCCACTCTCTTGAGGTTGTGGGTCACGCCTGTACTGTTGAATCTTCCCAAAGTAACCCACGGTCGGTTTAATAGGGCATGTTGTGAGAGTAACCTTAACTTTGCCACACGGCGGTGGCGGTGACGATATGATGTTGCCCATGAGACGTCGTATTTGTTTGTTATCTTGAATTGGCGCCTCAGTCCTCTCGTCCGATGCCATCAGTAATACTGGTCCCATTGACGCCGCACTGTTGCTAAGGGCTCATGTGATCGCAGGCTCCGTCGAAGGAAGTAGAATGATGTGTTTCCCATTCTTGGTGAAGTAATATGTGTTTCTGAATCCATTGTGTTGAGTCCTCTGACCAAAATGTCATGGTCTTCCCAACAGGAGGTAGCAGACATCCATATGGACCACATTACACTTCACCTGATTCTGCAGTTTCCCTCCGATCGAAAACTCTACCAAGCATCTTCGATCAATGATGCTCTTCCCAAGAGAATGTGAAAGACATCCATAAGAACCACGTTACACCACACCTAGTCCTGCAGTTGGACTCCGATCGAAAACTCTACCAAGCATCTTCGATCGATGCTAACCTGATTCTCCTTCAGCCACATCGGTGAATACGACTGAGAATTCCTTCGAGTCGCTAGTCCCAATTTCTCTACTATCTGTGTCGATGCCACGTTCATGCTTCTTCTGTTGTTGATGATGAGGCTGCATACATTTCTGTTTATTTTGCAGCCGGTGTAGAATATTTTTTGGCAAAGCCACTGTGGATCTCTCATGTCCTTAGTTTGTAGGTTCTGTTGAATCTTGAATGCATCTCCTTCGTTGGTGGTAGTTGGTACACCTCACCCTGTTCCTCTATTTTTTCCTCGTCGCTAACTTCCTCCACGACACCCCCTGATTTGTGAGGGTGATTTCTCTGCTCGTGAGATAGTTGGAGGCTATGTGACCATAGCCGTGTGACATTTGTAACATTTCCGTGTTGATACAGTGTTGGAGGAGCTACCCCTCTCCAGTTTCTTTTCGCTCTGATCCGGAGTGTCACTCCCTTGTCTGGGTTTGCTTGTCTCCCACAGTACTTTTTTCGGTCTCTGTAACTGTAGGAGACCGCATGCCTAACAATTGCTACCTGAAGGATGACTGTTGTCCGCTCTGTTTCGGCTGCCTCACCATTTTCAGGGCTAGTGTTTGAACATTTATGAGTGACGAATAAGGCTATAGTTGTACCAGATTGCTGATGGTTGGCTTCAAGCTCCCCAGATAACGGGCTATAGTGTGCTTCTCTAGCTCAACCAGATTGCAGATCATCTGCAACTAATCAAACAACTTTGATAACTCCTCTATTGATAGATCTCTCTGCTGCAGGTGGTGGAGTCTCAATAAGATATCCTAGCGGTAATGAGGTGGGAGGTATTTCCTCCGCATCTCCTTTTTTCATTTTCTCCCACCTGGTAATTTTTTCGCTGCCTTCCC